CTCTGGGCTGGCCCCTAGGCAAACTTTTTAAGAATAATTGTGTGTTATGGTATATGCACTTGAAAATAGCTTCCAAAATCTTTTTAGTAACTTGAAATTTTAGAGTTTTACTAAGTTAAGTTAAATGATGGAAAATTCATTGAATATCTAGATAATTTTCAAATAGGATAAAATACTGAAACATTAATTGCTGAACAAGTTTAAGTTTACCTACTTTTGGCTTCTTATTACAGCAAAACTAAAAGATGTCTGGCTCTATTAGCAAACGTGTCCTGTGCCACATTAAAATAAAACTTATGCCCTGAGGAAATGTATGTTTTCTGTAAAAAAAGGTATAAAGAATGGAGATATTTTTGTGAAGAAAGTAAATTGGTCCAGAAGTAAAATTCGTTATCGAAAAGAATGAAGAACAAATTCTGAATATAAAAAGAAAGTTATAGGAGGTTTGTGGAAGAGGAACCGTGAGAAAAGTGTTTTATGCATGGTCAAGCTGGCTAAGATTGGAATGAATTTAATTAAGTAAATGTTTTAATATCAAAATATACTGGTGAAAAATTACAATTTGTTTTTTCTCTCTATTAAAAGACAAAGTCTTCTCAGATTATTAGTCTGTTCTTTTATTTTCAAAGATTGGCACCTGAGCTAACATCTGTTGCCAATCTTCTCTCTCTCTTTTTTTTCCTTCTTCTTCTCCCCAAAGTCCCCCAGTACATAGTTGTATATACCAGTTGCAGGTCCTTGTAACTGTGCTATGTGGGACGCCGCCTCAGCATGGCCTGATGAGCAGTGCTAGGTCTGTGCCCAGAATCCGAACTGGCGAAACCTTGGGCTGCTGAAGTGGAGTGCACAAACTTAACCACTCTGCCATGGGGCCAGCCGCCTGGTCTGTTCTTAATAAGAAATTATAAACAAAGTTTCTTTACTTTTAATATAGTCTGCCTGGGAAACAAAGATTCTCTGTTTTGTCTTTATCAGGTCTTTGATTACTTTGCTTAATAGAAAAGCTGAGTCTTTTCTATTAAAAGAGTTAAAATTTTGCAGCTATGTAACCTTCTGTGTTTGTCTTTGAAATCTTTTTGTCATTTTGGTTAAACAGATAATTAGGGGGCTGGCCTAGTGGTTAAGTTCCTGCGCTCTGCTTTGGCAGCCCAGGGTTTTGCCAGCTCAGATCCTGGGCACCCGACATGGCCCCGCTCGTCAGGCCACGCTGAGGCAGCGTCCCACATGCCACAACTAGAAGGACCCACAACTAAAAGTATGCAACTATGTACCGGGGGGCTTTGGGGAGAAAAAGGGAAAAATAAAATCTTTAAAAAAAAAAACCAAGATAATTAAATATTAAGTTTTATAATGATCCGTGATCTAGTTAGGAAAGTGTTTTAAAATCTCTTTGATATTTTAGACAAACTTCCCTAAATCAGATTCTAAATGAAGTCTTTTTTTGAACTCTAGCTAACTTTGGGATTTTACAGAGGATCCCTGAAATATCTCAAAAGATTTGTTCTCAGGGCCAGCCCCGTGGCCTAGTGGTTAAGTTTGCTGTGCTCAGCTTTGGTTGCCCTAGTTCAGTTCCCAGGGGTGGACCTACACCACTCGTTGGCACCCATGCTGTGGTGGCAACCCACATACAAAACAGAGGAAGACTGGCAACAGATGCTAGCTCAAGGCGAATCTTCCTCAGCAAAAAAAAAAGAAAGAAAGAAAGAAAAGAAAAAGATTCATTCTCTCTCCTTGTAAAAAGATGGATATCAAACTAATTAGGCTTATCTGACATGTTGAATTACATGGGAAGGATTGTTAAGTGGGAAATAACATTAAGCTTTCTTTATGCTATGTCTTTATGTATTATAAAAGTTCCAGAAATTATGTGAAATTCCTGGATATTTAATATGTCCTGGTATAAAATGTCTGTCATCAAAATTGAGGCTCATACTAAATATCAGGAAAGTGCCTTAGCTGAATTTCATGCAAAGGCAGTAACAACAGAATCAGAATCTATAAAAGTTATGACACATGTAATTGAAGTTCCTTCTGCTTCTGCAAAAAGAAAAAAATTGACCCCTCATTGCCAGACTCTTGCCAGCCTGAAATCCTTTAACACGGCAACAGTCTGCTCCTGAATCAGAGAAATTAAGATGGGCAAACAATGGTGGTAAATTAAATGAGCAGACAGGGCTATGGGAAATCCAAGAAGGCCACTTGGCTCTTCCCGGCTCCCTGACAAACCCCATTTTTCATTTTTACATTCCTTCACCAACCATAGTGCATTAAGAAAAACTATCTCTGTCCCCAGAGGTCTCAAACTCCTCTCTCTGAATCCTTTAAGCACCTACAGCTAAATTTAATTCAATTGCTACTTAGCATGGGTTATTATTATGTTCTTGTTATTGTATGTATGTTTTCCAGATGGATTAAAGCCTTCCTTTGCCACAAAGCTGATGCCCTCACAATGGCAAAGAAACTGCTGGCAAATTATTTCCCACTTGGGGTCTGCCTTTCACAGTCTCCAGTGATCGAGGCACCCACTTCACTGGGCAAATCATACAAAGCTAAATGAAAAACCTTTCCAACTTCTTGGAATTGTCACTGTTCCTATCATCCTCAATCATCAGGCAAAGTTGAGAAAACTAATGGAAAACTGGATTCAAGCAGAAAAAATATTAAATTACATGGGACTATGTGAACTGAGGAAGATGTTCTAATGTTTTGTTCTTCCAGATTTAAAGAAATATTTTCTCCTAAGTGATCAACAATTTGATCCTTTGTGATCAAAGGTAACATACCTTTGTGAACAAAGATGAAACATTTACTTTTTCTCCCTACCTGATCCCTACAGAATTCAGAAACTCTCAGTGAGTATTCTCATTTTCGCTTACATAAATAATCAGGCCAAGTTTTTAATATAAACAAATTAATTTTACTGTGATTATCTTTGGTAAAAAAAAATGCGGGTAATAATGGTAGAGAGAAAAATTATATTTGCACCTTTGTAAATATTGGATTCTAGTCATGTTAATTGTCTTTGAGATTTTGTCATAGACCTGTGGACAGGACTCCCCTGGCCTAGGGTATTACTTTTGGTCTTGCCAACTGTTCACAGTACTCTTTTGGAAACCATGAGCTGACTCCACATGGGACGGTCACCAGTAGATCAGTGTCTGTTGGTATATAATCTTCTCCTGATTCTCTGTTGTCTTATGCTAGTATGAGCAGCTACTACAAGTCTCCAATGTCTTATGCTCGAGCCTATTATCAACAGGTTAAAGAAGCTTTCCCAGATTCCAATTTAAAGGGTCCTCTTGGGTACAGTCTAGAGCCTGGTGACTGGGTATTCTGGAAGCATCATCAGAGAAAGACAGCTCTTAAGCCCCATTGAAAAGGACCTTACCAGGTGCTCCTAACCACCAACACTGCTGCAGAACCAGAAGGCACTGAACCTTGGAGATACAGCTCACAGCTGAAGAAGGCTCCCCCTGACATTTGGTCCCGTACAAATGCTGGAGATCTCCAAATCCAATTGACTAGGAAGAGAAGCAGCTGATGGCTGAGGCAGACAGCTTTCCCAAGACAGCTGGACCAGGCCTGTATACCTCTTACTCACTGTTGCTTCTTACCTTATTTTCTCCATCTTTCTTGGAAAGACAATACTCTTATCCATATGTCCCAATCTATTACAAAAGGGGAAATCTTTCTGACTATTGGCCTTGTCATCAGAAGCCTCATTCTGTACATGAATCTAGAGAATCCTTTAGCAAGTTTAATTACCTATCTTTCTGCCATTCCTCCCCTAATTCATCATGCTTAGTGTCTAGAACTTCTAGCCTAACCAATCAAACCTCCAGAGATTTAAGAGGTGACATTTGTAACTCTTGTAAACACCTCTTGTTTTACTTGAGTAAACACCTCTGGCAAGGTAGAGCTAGAACTGGACAGAATTCAGGCACAAGCCAAATGGTTGAATGCAGTGCCCACTGACATCCTGTTGCTCTCTGATCTCTTTAGCTGGCTGCCCAGGCATTGCCTCCTGGTTCACATCGATTCCCTAATTTGGACTTAGCATCTTGTTTGTTATTATAGGAATTCTCCTTGTTGTAAAACTTTGTCTCCTCTGCATGTCTCAATGTTATAAAAAACACCATTCAGATAACGGTTGCTAAGTGCTTTGAAATAATTACCAAGACTTAGGAAACTTCACATGAGAAACTGCAAGGAACTGCAGAAGATGATTATCCTTAAAAGAACTTGACCCAAGAGCCCCGCTCTGCTCTGGTGCTCTTGTTCCTCAAATTTGGCCTAAAGGGGCCTAAGGAAACTGCTTTCCCTCCTATGTGGGACATGACATACTGGGACTAAGCCTTTCCTGGCAATGAGGGACCAACGATGCACTGATGGGTGATCAGCAATGCTTTTGGAGAAAGATCTTGATCAAAAGGGGAAAATGTGAAAGATGACATGAGTGCAGCCATATTAAAACAGAGGCGGAGCAGCCGTTTCAGAAGAATTGCCTTGCGTGTCTCATGTTCTTTATCTTCCAAACTGGAGAAAACTGCCAGCATTCCAAAAAGTCAATAAGGACAAGAATATCCTGCTTGTAAGGACTGATGAAATTGGACTTTGCTGATGACCAAATCACTAACCAGTCAATGAAGTACAAGTCTAGCTTTTCGCCTGTCGACCGAATCTCAAGACAATCTACGAAGTATAAACCTAGCCTTGCCTCATGGAGCACCAGTGAACTCTTCCTTAATGCAACTTACCTCATCTTCCTCCTTTTTTCCCACAAAAACCCTCAGCCCCTGTCTTGTAACTGGAGCACATTTGAATTTCTACTCAAATCTGTGTCTCTCAAATTACAATCCATTTCCTTTTTGGGTGAGGAAAATTGACCCTGAGCTAATATCTGCTGCCAATCCTCCTCTTTTTGCTTGAGGAAGATCAGCGCTCAGCTAACATCTGTAACCATCTTCCTCTATTTTATGTGGGAGGCCGCCACAGCATGGCCTGATCAGTGGTGCAGTGTCTGTGCCTGGGATGGAACCAGTGAACCCGAGGTGACAGAAGCGGAGCATGCAACCTTATCTAATACACCACCACACCAGCCCCCCACATTGCAATTCTTGAAACGTCAAATAAACTTTTTGCTTCTCTTGCAGTTTATGCCTCTTATTTGTTGGCACCTGGGACCTGAATTTTAACACTTTCTCTAGGTAATGCTGAGCCTGTAGGGTCTTAGACTATAGCAGGAAAGCCAGGAAGTGTGAGATAAAGGTTTTCCACACTGAGAGTCCAGAGGAGCTGCTGCGGGGCAGGGGAGAAGGGATGGTGGTGGTGGCGTCAGCTCTGCCCAGATGGCGACTCCTGCTGAAGCGCCACACTGCTCCATGTAGGAGTGGAGATAAAGCTGGCCACTCCGGATTCTAATCGGAGCGAGCAGGACAGGGGGAACTGGTGCTGCTTCAGCGGCAAGGATGGGTCGGTCAGTCCCAACCAGACCTAAGGAGGGCTACTCCCCCAGCCTGAAGGGAGGCATACCCCCAACCGAGGAGCCTCGCAGCCGGAGCGGAAGAACACGGCCGATCTCAAGGATCTGCAGGCTGAGGAAGAAAACCGATCAAGCCCTCAGGAGTCTCCGGCCCGAGGGGAAGACACAAGCCTAGCGTCAGGAGCCCTTCTTCTAAGAGCCACTTTTCTGCTCTCAGGGCACCCGAAGTGGATTTCTACAAACCAAGGTCCGAAAACTTCTCGGTAGGAGGCGGCCGGCCCCGGCCCGGGAGAGTGCGCGCAGCCCTCGCCCAGTCCTAACTCAGTAAGTCCAGGCGGCAGCGCGGGGCGGAGGCGGTTAGGCTTTTCGTCGCAGGCCAGGTCGCTCCTCGGGGGGCACTGGGGCCCGGTGCTCGGGTGCAGCGACGGGGCGCCCTTTGCAGCCGGCCACCTCCTCCCCCTTCCCCGCCAGCTTTTGCACACGACGCGCCGCGGGCCGCTTCACACGGAGTGGCGGAGGCCGGATAAGGCAGGCGGCCGCGGGGCGCAGCGGCGGGGTCGAGAGGCGGGAGCGCTCGGCGCGCGGAGCGGGTGCAGGAGCGACAGCGGGACGGCCGCGGCGGGCCCGGGGCGGAGCAGGCGCGCAGCGGAGCGGGCGGGCGGGGGGCGCACGCCCCGGGGCGGCGGGAGCGGCGCGCGGGGTCCTCCCGGCAGGTGAGTGCGCGCCGCCGAGCGTCCGCGCGCAACTTCAAGAGCGCCCTCGGCCGGGCGATAGCACGCGGCTTCCGGGACCCGGCGCCCGGCGCGCATGGAGGCCACGGAGAAGCAGCATCTGTTGGACGCCAGGTCCCGAGCCGGGTAAGGCGAGAGCCTGGGGAGGAGCGGGCATTGGAGCGGCATCAGACGCACCTCCCCGCTTGCCATCTGGCAGTGGATGGTTTTGGCGGCGACTTGAATTGGGACCGCACAGGAGGGCTGGGGAGAGGTAAGGAAAAGGGGAAATCGAGCGTGGGCACGAGGATCATCCTTCTCTTGCGGCCGAACACAGATCCTGACCCCTGCCCGCTAGTGGGGAGTCTGATACCTGGAGCCCCGCCCCCGGCCCAGCACTTTGCCCCCGGGCAGCCCTGTCCTGGGAGGCCCTGTGTCCCCAAGTGCGCAAGACGGGGGATCTGCCCTTCTCCCTGAGCCTGAGCGTTTTTCCTTCTCCGCGCTCTGCTGGACCAGCCCCGCCCCTTGGCCGTTTCCCAAGGTCTTTGCTTTGCCTCCTCAGGGCCCTGGGAGGGATGCGGGAGGAGGGAACATCACGGGCCAAGGCCCCAAGACTCCTGGACTGGTCATTTCCCCAGCACCCACCTCCGAACACGGGCTTCTGGTCCCTCTTCAGGGACTGTCGAGTTTGGAGTGTCCTCAGCTATTCTTCCAGTTGGACACATGGGAATGCTAAGCCCCCTCAGAGAGATAGGACTAGAGTCTGCCCTCCTTGCCCCCTCAGCTCCCCTCTCCCTTCCTCTCTGGTCAGGTCTTACAAGGGGTCTCTGAGGCAGGATGGGGCTGGCTGGATCCCTCTGCCTCCACCTGGCCTGGACTTGCAGGCCATTGAGCTGGCCACTGAGAACAACCATTACTGCCACGCCCAGAAAGATCTTGACAGTCACTGGGACCCCAAGAAGGAGCGAGCCCGGCGCCAGCTCTATGTGGCTTCTGCCATCTGCCTGGTGTTCATGATTGGGGAAGTCATTGGTAAGGACTTTTGCGCTAATTAAATTAAACTGACGCATTGATAGTCTGGATGAGCCAAAGGCTTTTCTCCTGGATGTTCCCACTAATGTTAATACTAATAACCCTAATTATTGAACACTCACCATGATAAGTCCTTTATATACACACTGTCTCAAGCAATCCTCATAACAATTTTGCCTGTTGTATGGGTGCTGTTATTCGCCTGATTTTACAGATGATGAAACTGAGGAACGTTAAAGTTAAGTAACTTGTCTAAGATCGCACACAACTAGTAGGTAAGGGAAGGGCTGAATGCCTAGAAGGAAAGAGTGTTTACTGAGTACCTACTATGCTTTCCAGGCCCTATTTGAACTTGATTTTCATGTTCACCCTCTAAGTAGATGTTGTTAGTCCCATTTCACAGATAGTAGAAGTCGAGGCTCAGAGAAAGTAAGTCACTTGCCCGTGGTTACACAAGCTAGTGGGTAGAGAGGCCCCAAATCCAATGTCTTTCTCCAGAGCCCATGGTTTCCCTGCTGCACACACAGTCGGGGAAGTTGGCTCCTTGGGAAGCTGATAAGGATCCTCCATCCTCCTGGTCCTGCCCCTGCAGGTGGGTACCTAGCACATAGCTTGGCGATCATGACAGACGCAGCCCACCTGCTCACTGACTTTGCCAGCATGCTCATCAGCCTCTTCTCCCTCTGGATGTCCTCCCGGGCGGCCACCAAGACCATGAACTTCGGCTGGCAGCGAGCTGGTGAGGGACCAGATCGGGATGGGGATGGAGATGGGAGAGGACGCTGGTCAAGACATGGGTTCTTAGGTGGCTGCAGTGGGTGGAACCCTGAGTGAGGCCAGGAGGCTGACTTGGATGGGGGAAGAGGATGTCAGCCTTGGCTTCTGTCCTTTGGGAGCTCCCTGTCTGATGGGGGAGCTCTGATCCTCTGTCCTCTGGGAACGCCCAGCCTGCAGGGAAAGAGTTCGCCTTCCTAAGAAATGAAATGGCCAAACTTCCAGAACAAATGACTGTGGCATGAACTCTGCACATAACTCCATGGATCAGCTCTGGGGGGTGGGAAAGGTCAGCAAAGTCTTCTGGAAGATTCAGGCTTTACACACTTTTAGTTCATTTCTGGGCTGCATTGTCATTTTCCTCTTGGTGGGAGATGATGGCCCAGCCCATCCTCCTCAGAAGTCTCAGTTTGCCAGTTGAGCAAGAGGTATAAATTTTAATAAGTAAGTTTCTTTATATGTAAAACCAAAAGTGTTGACCCAGATGACTTGTTAAGTTCCTTGTGGCTCTGACATTCTCAGATGGGTGAGTGGTGGGGTAGGGTGCCACCATGCCAGCCGTCTTTACCAGACCCAGGCTCTGACTTTCCTGGGAGATGGAGAGGAGATCACAGAGGGAGGGGGATGCCTCCTTAGCCTTAGAGCCCCATGCTCAGATTGGTGTGGGGGGTTGGGTTCTTCCTCAGAGATCCTGGGAGCCCTGCTGTCTGTGCTGTCCATCTGGGTCGTGACTGGGATACTGGTGTACCTGGCGGTGGAGCGGCTGATCTCTGGGGACTATGAGATTGAGGGGGGGACCATGCTGATCACGTCAGGCTGTGCTGTGGCCGTGAACATCATGTGAGTGTGCCTTGGTTCCCTGTGAGTCTTCCCTCCTCCCACTTCTCACATGCATACCTACATGCCTGCTCCCAGTGGAAGGAGGCCATGCCGCACTCCAGGCCACAGGAACAGGATTTCCCTAATGGTCTAAGCTCTGGCCCCTGAAACACCTGGGTCCTGCCTTAGGCCTAGGCCATGGCCATCAGGAGTTATAAATCTAGGGCAGCACTAACTCCACACCCCCCCATACATGTCAGTGAATAACCTGGGAGTCTTCATACCTGAAGTGGGGAGGGGTGAGTCTAGTCTCGCAAGAGCAGATGTTCCTCACAGCAGAAGTCCTTTCTCAAGCTGATGTGCCTGAAATTGGTCTCAGTGAGAGACAGGGTGTTTAGAGCCTGAGTGTCTCATTTGGGCTCTCTCCCTTGTTTGGTGGCTTTGGGCAAGCCACTTCCCTCTCTAGGCCTCAGCTTCCCAATCTGTGATGGGGGGGGGAGGAACTCGATGACCTCCATGGTGCCCTCCTGCTCTGAAATTTGACACTGGCGCATCTTTGTGCTCAGATTCAGCCTGCCATCTGAAAGAGCTGAGCCCTTTCTCCTGTGGACCTCTGAACCAAGGCCGTGTGGATTGGGCTCCTCACATGGCCAAAGGGATCATGCAGTCTTGGGGATTGAGATTTTTGCCCCAGAGGGAGGCCAGCCCTAATGGGTGGCCTCTTCCTGTTACCTCAGAGAGCCCCTTGGCTTGTCTCCACTTCTGTAGAATGGGGTTGACTCTTCACCAGTCTGGCCACGGGCACAGCCACGACACCAGCCAGCAGCAGGAGAACCTCAGTGTCCGAGCTGCCTTTATCCATGTGATTGGAGATTTTCTGCAGAGCTTGGGCATCTTGGTGGCAGCCTATGTTGTATACTTCAAGGTCAGAGCTGGGGACAGAGGGAAATAGGTCGGGGCGGGGGTGGGGAGGAGCAGGGGCGTGTAGATCATCTGGGGCCTCCTGTCTGCACAGGACCCTTTCCAGATTCTAGCTCCATTCCAGCTCTGGGCAAAAGGTTGGGGAGAGGGAAGGAACATTTATCCAACACCTACCACGCGTCAGTACTTCTGATCTTCATAACAACCCTGACGGGTAGGTGGTAGTGTTTTCTGCAGCTAAGAAAGGTTCAGTGACTTGCACAGTATCACGCAGCTGATAAATTGTGGAGCCAGATTCAAACCCAGGACTGTGTGCTGCCAAAGCCTGGACGTTGCCCACTGCATAGCACAGTGTGGTGTAGTAAAAAGAGCCATGTGTTGGGTTTGGAGCCTGGCTCCACCCCTCACTACCCATGTGCTGTAGAGTGAGTCTCTTGTTCTAATTGATCCTCAATTTCTCCATCTATAAAATGGGGATGTTGGACCAGATGATGTCTAAGATTCCTTTTAGTTCTGTCCATGTCTCAGTCCCTTAGGCAAGGATGTATGGGAAGGGACTGTGCCTTATCCTGAACTGTGGTCTGTCCTGCCTGTTCTTCTGGACACAGAATGAAAAGTAGAGAACTGGGAGGCAGGGCCAGGATGAGGCTCGTGCCCAGCCTGCAGAGAGACCCTCTCCCCAACTCAGTGCTGGGTGGGAAGGGAGAAGGGAAGCTGACCTCTGCCTTCCCCTTTTCTTGTAGCCAGAGTACAAGTGTGTAGACCCCATCTGCACCTTCCTCTTCTCCATCCTGGTCCTGGGGACAACCTTGACTGTCCTGAGAGATGTGATCCTGGTGCTGATGGAAGGTAACCCGGGCTTGGGGCTCCCTTTTTGCTCTTGGCTCTCCAGCTCTAATTGAAATTCAGGGCAGGGGAATCCCAGCAAATTGGCCGGGAGCCATGATCTGGAGCCTGGCATGGGCTGAAAACATCCTGGGGCCCCGGGCCAACCTTGGCATCAAACTGGGCCCTCAGGTGTGGCTGTTCCTGGAAATGTCCCCTGGACTGTACCTTCCCTTCCTCCTGGCCCCAAGAGTGCCTCCTCCCTGCTGAGATGTGTCCTCCCTGCCTAGCCAGGTGGCTTCTGGGTGGTGTCTGTAGCAGCTGGCACTCCAGCTCTTCCTGATACACTTCCTCAGTCTCCAGCAGCCTTCCCTCAGGCAGAGATGGGTGAGGATTATGCTTCCCATTGCACAGGGGGCAGACTGAGGCTCAGAAAAACAGTCAGTGTTGGACATGGCTGGGCTTCGAGGGGTGGCAGATGGTCTGCCCTGAGTTACCACACTCATTCACCGGCTTTCACGGTGCCCCAGCAGCTTGTGTCTCGGGCCTCTGTGTGGTCAGGGTTAGTCTGAAGTTGGGTGCCAGTCTGGGGTCAGCAGGAGTGTTGGGCTGCACGTCAGAGCTTTTTCTACAAGAAGGTGACTGATGCAGGTAAAAGTGACAATGATGCTGCTCCACGTGGGGGTGGAGATCCCCACGTTCCCTTCTTCCTTCTTCCTTCCATTCAAAAAAACATTTATCGAGCACCTACTAAGGGCCAGGCACTGTTCTAGGCACCAAGGATATGGCAGTAAACAAGACAGTCCTGCTCTCAGGGAGTTTCCATTTTAGAGAGGGAGACAGACAAGAAGCTAACAAATAAGATAATTTCTGACAGTGTTAAGTGTGAAGAGGAAAATACAACAGAGTGACATGATGGGGATCATTTGGGGGGTGGGGCGACGTCAGATCTGCGTGCCAAGGAGGTCTTCTCTGAGGTGACATTTGAAGAGCAGGAACAAGCCTGGGTGGGAGGGAGCAGTTTCCTTCAGCCCCTGTCCCTGCCGTCCTCAGGGACCCCCAAGGGCATGGACTTCACGGCTGTGCGGGATCTGCTGCTGTCGGTGGAGGGGGTGGAAGCCTTGCACAGCCTGCATATCTGGGCGCTGACCATGGCCCAGCCTGTGCTGTCTGTCCACATCGCCATCGGTGAGTGGCAGGGTACTCAGGGCCGGGTGAGGGAGAAGCAGCCAGAGGCCTGGGGCCACCCCAGATGGGTCCAGCGACCTCAGATGCTTGCAGAGCCCATGCATTGAACCTGGCCCCACGCCGAGCACTTTATACACAGTATTTCATTTGATCACCACAATCCTGTTTATAGATGAAGAAACTGAAGCTGGGGGTGGGGTGGGATGGTAGAGTCATTTGCCCAGGCTTGTACAGCTAATGAGTGGTGAGGAAAGATTCTGAGCCTTAAAGCCAGTGCTTTTCCTGCTCTTCAGGATTGTGCCAGGCATGGGACCCAGAGGGTTGCCTGGTGCAGGCATGGAATCTGGGGGTTCCTTGATGGCTCATGGTCCCCTATCCTGTTCTGCTGGGGGTAGGGTATGAGATGGGCTCCTGATTGCTCCTAAGGGCCCAAGAGTGACTAAACGGTTCTCTGGTGCCTCCCATGGTCTGTCCTCTTGGCCCCCAGCGCAGAATGCAGACGCCCAGGCTGTGCTGATGGCAGCCATTGCCCGCCTGCAGGGGAAGTTCCACTTCCACACCATGACCATCCAGATCGAGAACTACTCTGAGGACATGAAGGACTGTCAGGCATGCCAAGGCCCGTCAGACTGACTGCCTGGCCAGGTGCCAACTGGGGAGTGGCCAGGACCTGCAGATGGCAGGGCTGAGTGTCCCTCAGGCCCAGCAAGACTCTGCCTAGCCCAGCTGGAAACCAGGGTCCCTCTCCTGACCTCCGCTCCATGCTCACTGTGGAGGAGCCTTGCCCTACTCCAAGATTGGGGCTCTTCCCCTGCCTCCCCCCTGACCACAGCCAGCCCCGGCGGGGGACTTGGCAGGCGCACAGCTAGTTGACCCTGCTCCTCCAGCTCCTGGGTGGGCTCCTGGCGGGGCTGAATGTGCGCCTAATCCTCTGCTAATGCTGTCCTACCACAGCCTCGGGAAAGGCAGGGGGGGCACATGAGGGGTGATAGAGGGGAGACTGGCCTCAACGTCCCCTCACCTACCTGCCTCACTTCCCTTTTCCAGTCTGTCTGCCCTTGCCTTATGAATCTGTAAAGAAGCTCTGGAACAGAGCCCTCCCTCAGCCTCTAACAACATGGTTTAAGGGGCCATGGGGGTTGCGGAGTTGTGAGGACGCTGCACTCTCGTACATGTCCCCCTGAGATGGGGAGCTGGGGGGCGATGAGGCCTATCTGTGCCTTCATCACTTCAGCTGTGAGCCAAGTATTCCCCTTTCCTGGAGGGAGGAAGCTTCTGAGTAGGGAACGACCCGGCTGGTTTCCTCCTTCCTTATTCCCCAGCCCGGGAAGCAGAGACTTCAGCTCGGGTCCTGCCCTAAGAGCCTCACAGTCCCTAGCCCACTCCTCTTGCCCTGATGGTATGGCAGGGGTCGCAGAACATGAAATCAGATATGATTGGGCCAGCTCTGTTGCCGGTATGGCCTGACCTGCAGAGAACTCGGCGCTGGAGGACAGAGGGCCTGTGCACTGGAACAGGAGACACTGGCTTCCTGGGGTGTGTGTGAAGGTTCCTGAACTGGGGGGTGGCTTGTGTTTACACAAGGGGGAGACCTGTCCCCATGTCACAGAGGAGGCAGCATGCCAGGCAATCAGGCAGCCCTCATCCAGCGGTCTGTCTGCCATTGCAAGCAAGTGCCCTTAGGCGAGTCAGTGCCTCTCGTCTGTCTGCCCGCTGAGAATGCTAACACCCGCCTCGCCCCGGGTTGCTGTGAGTACTGGAGCCAAAGTCGGCCAAGCACCTGGTGGCTGTTGAAGAGTGGTTACTTTTATCTTCACTCTGGAGAGATGAGGCTCGAGGCTGCCTTGCCAAAGAGCTAGTGGGCTCCCAGCCTCCCCAGGGGCAGCACCGAGTCTGTGTTGACTCTCTCCTGACCCATGTTGGGAGGAAGAGGGGTTGTTCACTTGCATTCCCCTCTGAGCCTCTCTCTTCCCATCTGTGAAATGACCTCTTTGTGCCTTTCCAGCGCTGTCATCTGGGCTGCCTGTGATCTAGATCAGCAGGTTCTTCAGCCCTTTAAAATCTGTGAGAAGTCATTTGTGTTGGCTTGGAAGTGTGTGTGTAGGGAGACTGCTGGTGGCCGAGCTCCACACCACCCCAATCTCAGGGGAATCAAATCCCCCTCCCCCTAGCCATAGTAGACCCCAGGAACCTGACTCCTGGGCTTTGCTGTATGCTAAGTCCCTACACTCCTGTCAAGAAACAGTCATTGCTGTCCTCCATTTTTACAGATGAGAAAACTGAGGCTCAGAGAGGTTGAGTCACTTCCCTGAAGTCACACAGCCAGTGTGAGGCATCTGGGATTTCTGCCTCATTCCCCTAGGTTTGCCTTTACAGCAGGGGCTGGGGACCTACTCTGGGGTGTGTGTTGGCACAGTGTGAGCCCTTGGGGCTGGCAGTGCCTTCCCCACGGGCAAGGCCATGCCAAGGCAGTTCAGTGTTCTGGGTGCTGCAGCTGTGAATGGGGAGGGGAAAGGTGCCTCTTTTCTGTGGCTGGGGCTGGCCCTCGTGTCCTCCCCACCCTGGGAAGGCTGCCTGGGCTGCAGCTGTGTGCTTCCTCACCCACCCTCAGCTGTTCTTGACTCTGGGCCAGGCTGCCTCCCCTCCCCTGTAACTCCCTGTCCCCACTCCACCTCAAGAATCTAGCAGCCCCATGCCTCCCAAAGGAGAGCCCTCTGCATCCCCAGCTGTGATTGGCTCCAGGGAGGACCTGAATCATCCAGGGACCAGAGGATGGGAGTGGGAGGCCTTGGCGAGGGCTTGGGGGACGGCATGTTCCTGCCAGTGAGCTAGTCACGGGAGTTTCCAAAGCTGCGAGGCCATCAAAGCAGGAAAACACCGGACACCCTGGACCTGGGCTGGACCCACCACCCGCACCATTCTAGAGTCACCCCCATCCCAGAGTCGTGCCTCCCCCCCCCCCCCCGCGCAGCTGCTATAGGGGTATTTATAGCCTGAGCGTGAGGGGGCAAGGACACGCGTTTTATTTCGGAAGCGATAATTTCAGTTCCAGGCGGATGAACCCGGGGAACCCAGTGTCCCCTCCCCCACTTCACTCTCACCGCCAGGGCGCTGGGGACAGCCCCTGCTCCCACCCAGGCCACCTAGAAATGGCCCTTTCTTAGGCCTAAGTCTGTGGACCAAAGGCATGGGGCTATTCTTTCATATCCCTCCCCGCAGTTTTCAGACCTCGGGCTGCACACCGCCCACCCTCCACGTCCCGGGCCGCTCTCCGACCCGAAGGGTGTTGAGAACTTCAGCCCCTTTCCGGGAGGAGACAGCGCGGTGCGACGCTGACCTCTAGTGGCCCAGGCCGGTAATGCAGGCGACGGCCCAGCCTGAGCCAAGGGTCCCAGACCGGGCAGGGGCTGACCACCTGTATTCCCATCCCCTTTTTCACCTCGGTATCCTGTTCCGCCCGGTGGGGAAGGAAGCCCCCAAACTGGCTTCTCGGTATCTCTTTACTCCATCTCTGGGGCGCAAAGATTGCGCTTGGCAACCCAGGCGTCTGAGGGTAGCTGCCTTCCCGCCGGACTAGGAACCCCAGGGGGTGGGGGACGGAGTCTCGCCTCTCACTCTACACACCCTGTCCACACTCTCGCCACCATCGGCCCAGAGCCAACCACGCCGTCGATGTCTCTTCTATCTGTTCGTCAAATTATTTGTGGCGCACCTGCCAGGCCAGAGATAAGAGGACACGACCCTGCCCTCCCCGGGCTCCCAGGCCAGTCCTGGGGCCTGGCGGTGTACCTTGCAAGGCAGCATGAACAGTGTCAGGACTGCGGGAAACACCGGGCTGTGAAAGCGCAGAGGAGGAGACCAAACCCAACCGGGGCGGGGATGGGGGTCAGGCAAGTTCCTGGAGGAGGCGAAGATCTGAAAGACAAGTAGAAGTCAGCTCGGCAGAGAAGTCGAGAAAGGCATTGCGGGCAAGGGGTCAGCGCCGGCACCGCACAGCCGCAGAGCGGGCGCCGCGCACAGGGGAACTGCAGCCAGCTGTGGGACCGGAGGGTGGGGCGAGGGCCCGCCCTCGGGGGCGCTAGGGCTGTGGTTAGCCAATCGGGATCTGCCGCATTGGCTGACTGGCCGCCTTGATTGGCCAGTCCTAAGGGAGGATGCTGAGCCTCCCCTCTCCGCTCCCCCCAGGCAGATGGGGCGCCCCCGGGAGTAGGGCTGGGGTCTCCGCTGCTCCCTCCTAGGGCTTCTCCAGGCTGCGATACTTCTTGCGTAGTACGGACACCGAGTCCTTGAAGAGCACTGGGTCCAGACGGAGGCGGGAGGACACCAGGGGCATGTGGCCGAACCCTGCCGCCATCTGATTGATGCAGTTGCGGACTGGGGGCTGCGGCTCCGGCCTGGGCCCCCGGCCCTCAGGCGCCTAAGAGCGGGAGGAGAAAGGCGTTGGTTCTGTCCTGCCGACGCCCTCCCTCCCCCAGCAGCACGAAGGATTTGGATTAGACAGTGAGAGGGAATCCTCCCTCCCCTCCCCAGCCAGTGCCGACCGCCTGGATCCTCACCAGTGGAGGTCTGGCCTCCTGGTGCTGCTTCCTATAGGGGACCTTGATAGGGGGCAGCTTGGTGACTGCCGCTACTAGGAAGTTCATCAGGACGTCCACACAGGTGGGTGCTTCATCTGCCAGGGCCCTCAGAGCCTCTGGCAGGGAGTGGGTGAAAAGGGTGTGGTAGTACCTGGACAAAGGGGGAGGACGGGGAGAGGCTGCGGCCGAGTTCGCCTCCCAGCTCCGTTCTCCTCACTCTCCCTTTCAACCCAGTCCCTAAGCCTCTTGTGAAAGCCCTGCTCCCCTCTCTGAGCCCTGGCCCCCTCAGAGAGCTCCCACTCCGAGTTCGAACTACCCTCCACTGTTCTGTGCCGTGTGGCTTGTCTGCAGCCAATGGTGTACTCCCTGACAGCTCCTTGGGGCCCCCGCTCCTGGGCTCTGAGATCTGAACTCAGACAGAGCCAGACTGAGGGAGGGATCAGCTGGTTCCAAGGCCATCCAACATGGCAGCCCAAAGACCAGCTTCAGGAAGACTGTGGATTCGCCAGGCTGGTGCTGCTCCAGGTGAGCCTCGCTTCACACAGCCCCCTACAGAACAGCCTGGGCCCAGCCTGCAGACATTAGGGGCATTCTTCACTCTACTGAGAATTTCCCCCAGAGCTCCTGGGTAAATCTACAAGAGGTTCCAGGTTACACATATTTGGTTTAAACATGTTTAAGGAACCCCTCTAAACAGGCTATCCAGAATTCAGTCCCTGTCCCCAAACTGGGGCGCTTCAGGCAGTTTCTGGAAGCCTTGGGACAGTCCCCAGCCCATCACACACACATTTATAAAGCATCAGTTCCATTCTCTTGTCACCCCGCCACCACCACCAAACCCAAACACTGTCCATACCCTCTGCATGGCTCTACTTAAAATAACACCAGCTACCATTTGTTGACCATCTGTGTGCCAAAGACTTCTTTTGGTTTTTTCATTTGATTATCACACCAGCCCTGTGAGGTGAATACATTTTACAGATGAGGAAACTGAACCTCAAGAGAGGTGAGGAGGCCTCTCCATCACACAACTGGGAGGTGGCACATCTGGTCCTTGAAGCTGGACCTCTGTGCTCTAGGCTGATTGCTATGTTCACTCCCATGCCACCCTGCTCCTGGTCCAAAGAAGGGGTCTCTGGCCCTCTGACCCCAGGGCCCATCTGTACCTATGGTAGAAGGCAGCCGAGGTGAGAACCATGGAGAATTCATTGGCCCTCTCAGCAGTGTAGCCCCAGCCGCCCAAGGCCTCATCCCAGAAGTGGTTCCACGTCAGAAAGCCCACCATCCGCTCTGGGAAGCTCTGCCACACCACAAAAGCAAAGTCCACCTGGGGAGATATTTAAGTGGAGGCGTGAGGAAGGACTTCACGACCAGCCAGGAATATCCAGAGATAGGGAGATAAGGCCAGCCTGGCTGAGGGGGACTCGGGGAAGAAGAGATGGGAACATGAAAGTTTCCAGGGGGTGCTTAGGGGACCTTTCCCAATGGGGAGCTAGAAACAATGCTTTTTCTGCTGGAAGCTGAAAATAATGTCTTCAGAAGAGTCTGTAGAAAGCTTCTATTAGATTTCTAAGGAGGAGGCTGATTGGCTTTCTGGGATGGTTTCAAAAGCAGGAGGCTGGACCTCTTGATCTCTGGGAATTTAAGGGGCTGCCAGGGCCCTCAGCTCTGTCCCCATCCACACTGAGCTGCTCCCGGGCCCAGACCTCACCTCACTTGTGGAGAGACTGCTGTGGGCATCGAGGCTGAGGATGGCATCGGTGCTGATGGCATTGTACGGGAAGAAGCGGTCGCTGACCTGCAGTGGGAGGGAGGTGAAGGCAGCTCAGCTGTGGGGACCCTCCCCAGGCTCCTACAGTGAATATCTGAGTATCTGCTAAGCAGGAGACCCTGCAGCCATGGTGTAGAGGGAAGGGTAGAGAAAACAGCGAGGCTGCCCAGAACTCGGACCTGAGGAACTCATCTGACCTCTCGGGACTTCAGTTGCTCCTTTGGAACGGGGTGTTTGGTGTCTAAAGGCCCTTCCAGTTTTGACACCTCAGAGTCCTCTGTTGTCACATAAGATGCTCACCTCTACCCTGGCAGGGGCTGTCAAACATCCTTCATTTGAAAGCAATGGGTCCAGGAGATGAAGGGACTTGCCTAGATCCACACAGCCAGCAGGTGGCTCACACCATCCCAGGTTCTCAGAAGCCACCCCACTCTGGCCCAGTTTGCTGCCATCTGTCTATATTTCCTCTAGATCCCAGGTTTTACATCCAACCTACTCCCTCTGCCTTCCCACATCACAGAAAACCCCAGTTCTCTGGAAGCACAATTCACAAAGGCCAGAGATGGAAGAGAAGCACCTCTATTAGGCCTGCAGCCAAAACCCACTGTCTGATTTCTTCAGGCCCAACTTGAAGTCCAGCTTTGGCTCCGGTTCACATAAAGCGCCCGGTGTGCCCTCCCCAGTTCCCAGCATTCAGGGGCTGACACTCCCCTCCATGCCCCTCCTCATCCCTCACCTTCCTGTGCCCCTCACTGACTGTCAAGGGCACTGCTGTCTCTGGCCACCTGGGTGGTGGTGGCTTCTCGCTGCTCCAGAGAACCAAGATCTAGAAGGAAAGGGGAGTGTTCCTGAAGTCTGCGGCGGAAGGGGGGGTCCCAGGAGTGATCTTTCTCAAGGTGGAAGGAATATGGGGGAGCAGGTGTATGTGTGAGTTTGGGAGGAGAGTGTAGTTGGAGTCGAGGTCCTTTCAATGCTACCCTGCTTGCCTCTGGGCTTCTGGAAGGCAGGAATTCCTGTGACACGAAGGTAGCTACCTGTGGCTTTAGAACAAAGAGAGCCGGTTGTGGTAGCCCCTAGCCTGGGCCCTGACCCCATGCCCCATCCCCATCTTCTCTCAAAGGTTCTCATTCTCTTCCTGCTCCTTTATCTGTCCCAACCCAGCTCCAATGTCCATCTTTGGAGCTGCTCCATCTGTGCCCTGGCTGAGCTAACTGATGCTCTTACTCTCAAGAGTCTGTCTGGCTTCTCTGGAAGTGAGATTTGACAGTCTGCATGCCAGGAAATACTACCTGAATCTGAATCTGGGGTGGAATCTTCCTGCTTTTTCTCTGCATCCTCAGCATCGAGCCCAGGGCCTGGGGCTCAGAAAATGAATGCTGGATGAATAAATGAGTGAATGTATGTGTGTTTACTTCTTCAGCCTCCCCAAGAGGGAGGGAGAGGTGGGGGTGAGGAAAGGAACAAGAACTTTGGGGCTTAAAGAGGAAGGTAGCAATGGCACTTGAAAATCTTTCCCGTGCCTTCCCCAAAAATGCGTGGTTATCAAGGTCTAGATGTCTTTTTGAGGGTCCTGCCTTGTCCTTTGTCCCCACCTTGGATCTCGGGACACCGGCTGTCAAGGGGGCAGACCTGGGCACAGTGCTGGGAGCCTGCCACCGCCTGGATGAGCTTCAGGGGGGGCTTGCCTGGGGCCCCCACCCAGATCAGGGCGCTGAACCTGCCCACAGGGCGAGAGCCTAGGAAAATGAGACACAGGCTATTAGGATGGGAGGGGACAGAACCCTCTGGAGGTTCTGACCTGAGTTGGGGACTCAGGGAGCCAGGAGAGACGTTGGGGATTTGGGAAGGGGCTGGGCTGGGCTCTATGGTTAAGGCTGGGTCAGACTTGGGGAGAGTTGATGTGGGGACTTCAAGTTGTCCCATCCCCAGGGCATACCCTGTTGTACATGGTAGAAGGGGAAATCCGAGGGGCTTGTGGAAAAAGTGGACAGGGCCAGGAGTGCCCCTGGGGGGCTGTTCCACAGTAGCGAGGGGTGAGCAGATGCTCCAAAGATCCGGTCCTGAATAATCTGTGAAATGAGAGAGGGCTGTGCAGAGGGAGTGGCCAGTGTGGCCATGGGCAGGCTCTGAGGAAGTGAGGACCTGGTATAGCCCCACCCCTTCCCCTTCAGGCTCAGGGGGTGGGGGGTGGAGGCAGCAGCTGCATCACCAGATCACTGGGGACAGAAGGATTCAGATGCAGAAGTCCAGAGTAGGGGGCAGTCAATGATGATATCCAGAGGTGGCAGATGGTGGTGACCTGCTGCCTCCCTTTCCTTCCTCACTCATGGCGACACCACTAACAGGTCCTGATGTTTCTTCTGGACCCAGAATCCCTCCCACCCAGCACCCCAGGCAGCCAGTGCCCGTCAACTGGAATTGGGACATGCTTTGAAATCTATTGGCCACAGCTGTCCTCTACAGCTGGGGAAACCGAGGCCAAGATTGGAGAAGGAACTTGTCCAAGAGATCAGAGCCAAGTCTCAGATTCACCCTAGAGGCATCTTCAAGGGGGAGGCCCAAACACCGGGGCAGAGGAGGTGTGTGGAGAGGGAATGGGGATGAGGCAGGAGCCGAGCACCAGGGCCCCCGTCAGGGGAGTCCCCCTCACCTCCAGAGTGGTATGGATGACCTTCTCCACTGAGGAGAAGTAGGCATCCCATAGAAACTGGGTCTGCTGACGCAGGGCGAGGACCCGCGTGAGAGGCATCTGCTGGAGGGCAGCTAGGACCTGGGGCAGAGAGGGAGAAAGGAGAAGGCGTGGGGCCTTGTCAGGCCCTGACTGACCCCGGGTTGGGGCAACGTAGGTTGGAGGTCTAGGAACAAGAAGCCCTCTCCCCACAGTTCTCCAAGTGGGTTAGGAGCAGCCACCCTTGGCTAAGTCCCAGGTAATTTAGCAATCCAGAGTTCAAGGGTCACACAGAGCTGGGTTTAAATGCCACTTAGTAACTGTGTGACTGTGGACGAGATACTTAACCTCTTTGGGTCTGTTTCCTCATGTGTAAAGTGAGGATAGTAATAGCACCTGCCTCAGAGGGTGGTTGTGAGAATTAAATTAGATGATACATATTAACTGCGCAGCGCAGTGGAGAGGCTCAGTAGCTATTGTTACGAACTCCCCACACCACTCTCACTTCTGGGGGTTCAGGGCTCACACACGTTTTTCAGAGCTGGGCAGATGAGTTTCATCAGATGGAAAAGTCACCATGCATTTTGCTTTCTCATCCGAAGCTCCAAGGAGGTGCTCAGATTTTGGACTTTTGTGGCCTTCCCTTAAATTGGGTATTTAAGTAGTCATGCATGAGTATGGCTGGGTCTATGGAGATCCTCTGGTCTAACTTATCCCATTGTACAGAAGGGGAAACTGAGGCTGGAAGAGGCTCAGGACTTGCTCTCAGAACCCCCAGGAGTCTCTGCCTCCATCTGATCCTATGGGAGCCCCAAAGGCTTGGGGCTGGGGGCAAAATCATCAGTATACATAGATGGGGGATAGGAATGAGGACTGAAGGCAGCCTGGGGGCGGGGATCCCCGGGTCTTCCCATGTCACAGGTCCAGTCCCCACCCCGTAGGCAGGGCCCTGTGCTACCTGAAGTGGGAGCCTCTTGTCAGTGACAATGGCCGCTTTGGTCCAATCGATGACCTCGGAGAAGGGCAGCTCCCAGCGAGGGCTGAGAAGCACAGGGATGCAGCCAGCCTGGGGGGCAGGGGTGTCACTCGGGAGCCCAGTCCCACCCTGCACACACTCACCCCCCTCCCAGTTCCAAGTCAGCAGCTGCTGCTGTTGGGGTCAGGGGGCAAAGAGGAGAGAAAAGTGGGGTTTGGGGGGAGGTTGTTCTGCAGAAGGTGCAGTGAATGTGGCTGCAGGCACACCTGAGTCCCACAGTAAAGGAGTGGGCAGCTCACCACCCCTGCCCATTGGCCTGGGCCCAGAGTACCCTGCCAGCTCAGGAGTGTCGGGGGACAGGGGCAGGGGGTGCCCAAGTTAGGGTTGTACCTGCAGGGCTTGGAGGAAGTGCGAGGCATCAGGACGGTGGCCAGGGATGAGGCAGAAGGTGGCATTGGGTAGCGTTGCCCCAGGGTGGGTCCTAAGGAGGCACAGGAGGAGGTCCCACACATATGAGGCCTGAGACAGCTGCCCCTCACCCTATCTGGCTCCTTGATGGCCCCCAGCCCCCACACCAACACTCCCCAATTCACAATGTGCAAACCCACCACCATGTGCTCATATGTTGACAAACACTCATGCACACGCACACCACTCACTGACACACTAACACAAACACAAGCCTCACCCATGGTTGGGCCAGGAGGCAGGAGCCTAGGTTCCAGCTCTGCCTCTGCCCTTGGTGGGCCTAGACACCTCCCTTCTCTGGACTTTCCTCATTTGCAAAATGGAAGGTGGCGGAACCTGCCGTTTCCAAGGCTGGATTCGACTTGGACTTGGCCGTGCACATGTTTGCCTTCCCACTGCTCTGCCACATGCAGACTCTCTGGCAGCCCTCACCTGCGTGGCCTCCATGCCCTGCCCTCCTCCCATCCTGAGAGCCCAGGCCTGTGAAAGGCTCCTCTGTCATGAGGTGGGCTGGGCCCCTAGCCTGGAACCACACAGGAAGCTGCTGCCCAGAGGCCCCCTTGCCCAGAGGACAGGCCTCCTCTGTTCCTCCCACCTCCTTCCCCCAACCCCAGGGCCACATTCAGGCTGTGTGTGCCTGTGGAGGGAGGGACAGGAGTCACAGGGGTAGGACTGCCCACTGGGGGAAGCAGTGCCCATGACCTAGCTACTGGGAGGTGGGGGTGGGGGCAGGACTCCGGGCTCACGGGCTTGCTCTGAGTGGGACAGATGAAAAGGACCTAGGGGGTCCCAGGATCTTCCTCAGCTACAGCCTATCTGGTTCTGAGCCTGAACCTTCAAGAAGCAGTCTTGGGTGTACTTAGTCAGCCTCTGGACCAACCCCCATTGAGCAGATGGGGAGACCGAGTCTCAGAAAGACCCAAGTACTGGCTCAGGGTCTCAGAAGGGGTTGGGGCAGAACTGGGTTATTTGAACCACCCCAGAGCTGCTGCTTAGGGGTCTCCCAGAGGACCCCTGCCTTCTTTCTCCAATGCTCAGGTGTCCAGAGGTATCTCCTGGAAGAAGCCGCAAGTTAAACAACAGGACACCTTCCACCTAATTAAAAGCCACAGCACCAGCAAGCTACAGCCCTCTCCCCTTCCCCAGTAAAGCCCTAAGGGACTGAAAACCCCTAAGTTGAAGGCTTCAGAGAACCCAGAGACAAAGAGCCTGCTGAATAAACTGCACCCCTGAGTCCTCATTAACCTCCACTGCTCCCCGCTCTGTGTCTTTGCATCTCTTTCTCCCTCAGCCGGGAGCACCCCTCCCTGCCTTGCAGCCCGAGGAATTCCTCCTACTCAGTCTTAATGTCTGAGCTCAAACATCCTCTCCTCTGGGAAACCCTCCTTGACCTCTCCAGAGAAGGCCCCCTCCTCTCTGCTCCCACAGCACCTGTGCACATGTAGTAGTAATGGGCCAAGCTAACCTCTACTGAGCATGCGCTTTCTTCTAGGCCCCGTTCTGAGTACTTTACATGCGCTAACTCACTTCATTCTCAACCCTGTGAGGTGGGAGGTATGTGCTGTTAGTATCCCATTTTACAGATGAGGAAACTGAGGCCTAAAGAGGTTACACACTTCTGAAGTAGGAGAGCCAGGCAGGCAGCTTGCACAGCCTCTCTCTGCTTAACAATGTGGGTCATAACTAGTGCCTTGTCTGTCTCTCCTACAAGACCAAGCTACTTGCGGGCAGGGGCTGTGCCTCCCTCCTCTCCATATCCCCAGGGCCTAGCAGAGCACCTGGCAGAGAATGGGCACTTAATGGGTGCTTAATGAATGCTCAGTGTGCAATAGAGGATAGACCCAGGACCAATGGACCAAATGTCTGCAAGATTAGTTTCAGCACAAATTCTGGTAATGGAGCTGACTGAGAGTAGCCAGTGGGTGACCTTGGGAAGTGGTGAGTTCCCCATCAGTAGAGGTAACTAAGCAGAGGCTGGATAAGCGTGTATGTGTGTTCCTTTAGAGGGGACATCGTGGTCACTGCCAATGAAGTCTTAGTCTATGATTGCATAAGGTGTTTTGCCAGGGAGCCTCAGTGCCCAAGGCTGGAATTAATGTGGCTCCACTCATGGCCCCAGGGCTCTACCAGGGCCTAGCCGTAGGCAGGGCCACACTGTGACTTCTGTGTGCCCTAGGCACTTTGGCCTCTGTAGGCCCCTGCCATAAAAAAATTATAAAAATGATATTTGATGACTGTGTAGGTATAAAAATGAACATATTAGTTTTATATATTAAATCATTTTCTTCTACTTAAGAGTTCATTTTTTTCCTTCTGATTTTCAAAGAAATGAAAATATTTTCATGGGCCCCTAAAAGTATCACTGGTCCTGGGTGCTGTGCCTCCAGGGCCCCATGGAGATGGGCCAGGGACCTTTAAAACATGCATTGAATCTATGTTAAAAAAAATACAGGGTGGGCCCGGTGGTGCAGCGGTTAAGTCCGCACGTTCCTCTTCTCGGGGGCCCAGAGTTTGCTGGTTTGGATCCCGGGTGCGGACATGGCACCGCTTGGCAAGCCATGCTGTGGTAGGCATCCCACATATAAAGTGGAGGAAGAGGGGCACGGATGTCAGCTCAGGGCCAGTCTTCCTCAGCAAAAAGAGGAGGATTGGCAGCAGTTAGCTCAGGGCTAATCTTCCTCAAAAAAAAAAAAAACAAAAAAAAACGGGGGAGCATACATACATGTTGTTTGTACACACACAGAGTACCTCAGAAAAGACGCTCGAGAAACTAGAAACGGTATTCAGCTCCAGGAAGGAAAACTGGGTGGCCGGAGACAGGGGAGGGAGGGAGGGAGTTTTTACTGTATACGCTTTTGTACCATTGGAATTTTGTACCATGTGAATGAATTCCCTATTCATAAAAATAAATAAATAACAATTTAAATGGGTGGAGGCTCATTCCAAAGCAGCAGGAGACTGTTCAACAAAGGTGGAAAAACATGGGCTTTGGAGCCAGAAGTGCAGCGTTTAATCTCAACCCCGCTGCTGCCAAGGGCCAGATGAGAAACATGAGGGAGGCCGTGGTGCATCAAGGAGCTTGGCACCAAAGGCACTCCCCTGGTCTGAGCCTCAGTTTCCTGTTCCCTGCAATGGGGATAATAATGCCTCCCTTGAAGGGTGTTTCAGAGGATTGACCATGACTTCTGTAAGGGGGCTGGCACAGCACCTGGCCCAGGGCAAGCTCTCCCCGCCAGCCTGGCCAGTGACTGTGAGTCGCCTATTTCTCTGGCCAGCACTTGTTTATTCAGGCCACCTTCAGGGGGCTGGCCCTGTGGCTGTGGGCCTCCCTCTCTCACCCTGTCCCTCTACTGTGTGGCTGGCTCGGCCGGGCCGCAGTCTGGTACTTCAGGGAAACCGAGGCGCATGCTACCCCAGAGATGATGACGAGTCCTGTCACCTGCAGGCGGGCTGAGGCCAAAAACAGAACTTCTTGAAGTTCGGAGGACAATTAGAGGCTGCTAGGCCTCACACCTTGGAAACAGACTTATCAAAAATGCTACTTAGAGTGTGGCCCACGCTGATTAGAAAACCTTGGCCAGTTTTGGCCAATTTTGGATCAATCAATAAACATTTAGTGAGCACCTGCCTACTGTGTACAGCTCCCTAACTTTCATAGCTAAGTGCCTGCTCAGAAAAGTGAGGCAGGGCAATGGAAGCAGAGAGCCTTGTCACCAAAGGTGAGCTCTGTCTGAGCTCCGAGCTTGCGGGGTCTGGGGGGAATCCCCGACTTTTCTGGTTACTGCTGAGGATGCCCACTAGGCGTGGGTCCTAGCAGAAGGGCCGTGAGGGCAGACTGGGGCAATTCTGTCCTCGCCCCCGGCTTCGAGACTCCCTGGAGGCCATGTGCCTTCAGGAGGCAGAGGGATTCCATTCCCACAAGAGCCCTTTGGCTGAGAGAAGCCCCAGAGGCCCCAAGCAAGGCAAAAACAGAGCTTGGCCACCTGAAGAATTCCTGGGAGGGAAGAGGAGCTCAGAATAGCCCGTGTTGTCCTGGCAGAGGGAGGGAGCAGGGAAGGATTCTAGAAGGACAGGTTCCGCCTCAGGTCTGCCTTGGGAGATAGGGAGGGAATTCTCTGCTGCAGGGGCCCTGGACAACCTGAGCAGGCTTTCATTCTTGCCTGGCCAGTCAGCCTTTGGATGATGTGGGCCTCCTGGGGCTGCATAGGGGTTAGAGTACTTAGAGGTTAACTGCATTATCATCTGCGGTGTGTCACCCCAACTAGCCCAGGCAGAGAGAAATTTCTGAACGAGCTCTCCATGCCCCATAGGCCCCCATGCCTGTTATATGTATTCATGCACTCTTACTGGCAGGAAGTTCTTCTGTAGGTCTGACCTAATTCATATTTGCTGTAACCAAAGGCTGTTTCCTTAAGAAGTTAATCCCCCAAATTAGACATAGGAGCAGCTTCCATCTGTGACCAGTTACTAATCTCCATGGCTCTGAGGCATTTGACGGGGTTGATCACAAACTCTTGCTTAAAACTTAGAATTCTAACGCTGAAGGCTACAGAGACAGGAAATTCCATTAAAATACTGGCTGTGCTCTTTCTGGCTGGGAGGCCTCACACAAGTTCCTTAACCTCTCTGAGCTTCAGTATCTGGTACACAAACATTTAAATGATAGCAATAAGTATATTTTATTATAATCGTTATTTATGAAAGTGCTCAGCACAGAGTAAGGACTGTAGAAGTGTATGTTAAAGAAAGTACTAGGGAAGGAGGCATTGGAATAAGAGAAAAAGAGTAAGTAGGGTGAGTCATGTTTTGTGTTTTTAAGGATCCCCAGGGGAGAACTCCGCAACCTGCCTAGGACACCCCTTGCAGCAAATCACTGTCTCGGCGGTAGTGTTCTCTGCTGTCTAGCCTGACTCTCCTGCTGCGGCTGAGGCCTAAATTTGCCAGGACTAGCTGGTTCTCCCATCCCAATCCTGCCCCCACCCTGGCCTCTGGGCTCGCTCCCATCACAGACCCCTCTCATCCAGACCCCAAGGGGAAAGGTCCACTTACTGCTCGGGTCCGTGGTCCTGCTCACAGCGCCCATCCCAGGGGCAGGCAGAGAAGTTGGTGCCTGCCGTGTGCCACCCGCCCCTCTCCTCTGCCAGGGCTAGCAGGGCCACCCTGGGGTGGGGGCTGTGCTGCCGCAGCTGGCCAGGTGCCCCACCTCGTAATGCGTGGGCTTCGGGAAGAAGCGGGAGGGCCACGTCAAAGCCATGCCGAAAGGTGTCCACTGTTGGGCTGGCCTCGGCCACCATTGCCTGTCCCAGCTGGAAGGTCCGGGGGCAGGGGGCTGGGTGGAGACTGAGGACCAGATGGTTCCTGCCCCCATTCCATTGCGGGGGCACCGGGCTGCACTCTCCAGCTGAGGAGTCCCGGGTGAGGGGGAGGAGGAGGAGGCAGGCCTCGGCAGCGTTGGATGTGTGGTAGCGGGACCCCTCAATGGAAGCCAGGATCCTGCGATGAGTCTCAGAGACCGGTCCAGCTGCCGAGTACACAAATACCTTGAGGCCACCACCCCTGCACTTCGAGGCGTCAAAGCAAGCTCCCCAGTCACAGCTGCCGCCACGGGGGCCTTGAGGAGGTTCAGGGGCATCTTCTAGGAGCTCCCCAGGCTGGGAGAAACTCTGCAGGAGCTCTGCATCCAGCCAGCGTGGCCAGCCTTGGGAGGCACCTGCCCGAGGTCTGGTGGGCACTGCCAGGCGGAGAAGGGGGAAGGCTCCCAGGAGGACGAGGAGCCAAGAGGCCGACAGTGCCAGCAAGAGGGCCTTTCTTCTCCATGACTGCATGTGGCCACCCGCAGCCAGGGCTGGGGGAAGCAGGAGGCTCAGGGGCCTGAGGGTGGGCGGCTGGAACCTGAATAACCTTCTAGTTCAGCGCCCTCATTGTACAGCTGGGAAGACTGAGGCTCACCGAGGGCAGGCTGTCTGCGTAGGGTCAACAGCGAGTCACCGGCCAGGCACAAGGAGGCCAAGTAGGACCCAGCCCTCTAGCTTTGCCTTCCTACTGTCAGGACTCTGCTTCCCCGGCCTTTGGACAACCAAGCCAGCCTTTGCTCTCCCAGCAGCGCCCTGTGCTCCTGGGTATTGCTCAGGCTGTTGCAACCCCTGTCTGGACTGCAAGGCCGTGTCCTTCTGCCCTCCTGGCTGCACCCCGTGACCTCCGCCTCAAGGGAGAGGAGGGCTGTCTGCCAGGCCATGGGGGACCCGTCAGGGCTCCCACAGGAGGCAGCTTGGCCAGAGTGCAGGGCTGGACAGAAGCGGGGATGGTCTCCCCAGTCCTCCTCCTGCCTAAGCAGCCCCTGAACAGCCCTGGCCGCCTGTGTGTCCACTGGCAGGCACTCCTGGACTGTGGGCCCTGCGGCCAGAGCTAAAATTAGACCCTGTGCCCCATGTGGGCTCTCAGGGTCAGCTGAGGTCAAGGCCTGGGTGCAGCCAGTGCCCCCTGCCTTGAGGACTGGGAGGGCTGTGGGTCTTGGTCCTCTCCCACTCTGTCGCTGCCCCCGGCTCAGACAGCTCTGTCCCTCCCCCTCCCCCACTAGCAGCTGGTCCTGCACGGTCTGATTGGAGCTATCATGGTGCAGAGGCCAGGGAGCCCGCACCAAACTCCTGCCCCACGGCCCCTAAGCCCTGCCGGTTTCTCCTCCTGGTCCCTCGGTCCCTCGGAGCAGCCTCTGACCAATCTAGATTTCTTTCCTAGCGGCGGCCTGGCTCCTCCCCGCCATCCCTGATTCGCTCCTGGCTGGGAGGCAGGGTCTCCACTTAACCCCTTCCAAACCAGTTTCCTCGACTGCTAATAATAATAACCAGCAGGGCCCACACCTTACCGTTTGCCTTGAGCTCTCACAGCCTCTATCTCTGAATTCTCACATCGACCTTCCAAGGCCGAGGTTTATCACTGTCATTTTCTAAAGACGAGAAAAGTGAAGCTCAGAGAGGGGGTGATATCTTCCTGAGGTGACCCAGCTAAGAAGTGGCAGGATGGGGATTCGAACCCTGAGCTCCTGACCCTCACCGGCAGAGCTTCCCACTGCTCACCCCAGCTGGGTCTGAGTGTGGGGAGTCTACAGATCAACAGATGAGCTAAGAGAGGTTTAGCGGCTGGGAGGGGGCAGGGTGAGTGGTATTGGGTAAATTGCTCCTAACTATTCCCAGGATTGGTCCCTCCTCCTTCAGTATCCCCACCCCCAATCTCATCCAGCTCCCAGCCTTTTCAGGCCCGCCTGGCACCTTTCACTTAGGTGCACAGGTCTGCCATCGCCTGCAGCTCTCCGGGGAAGATCTTGATGCTTGTTCCAGCCAGTATGGGAAGCTCTTCCTGAGGCTGAACTTGACTCTCCATTAGCCCACGAACATTGAGGGTTTTCCCTGCTCAGTGCCTTGATCTGTGCTCGGTGAGGGGAGCCGGGAATGGGTGATGTTGCCCCTTGAGGAAGCGCTGAAGTGATGGGGAAGACGCAGATCCTGGCTGCCAGGAGCCCCAGTCTGATGTGGGAGGCTGCAGGGAGCCAGGCAGACCTGGAGTGGATGCTCCTTCTACGCCTTACTGGCGGGATGATGTTGGGCCTCTGTCCCCTCGTCGCTAGAATGGGGATAATGATATCTAGCAGGAGATGGTTGCCAGGTTAAATCCAGGCCCATCCCAGGGAGTCTGGCAACAAGTGGTAAGCTCCTTTCTTTGCTGGCCTTCCCCTGATCTCAGGGGGCCACTGATCTGACAAGGGAGCCACCATGGGAATGTTATGCCCTCGGTGGGCAGTCAGTCAGGGGGTGGGGCGCAGTTCACACATCCAAGAATGTCCTCAAAATGGCCAACAAAGGGGAAATCTGGCCTCTTCACACTTCAGGGTCAGTCTCTCCCTGCACACCTCAGGTTCCCTCCTGGGAAGGGAGGTCTCTGCACATGCACATGCCTTTCGCTTTCCTCTGCTAACCCTCCTCATCCTCCAGGAATCAACCGAAGCCTCTCTCCCTACAGGAGGTTTCCCTGACTCCCCTCAGGCTGGTGAGGGCCCTCCTCTAGGGTCTCATGCCATTTCTCCATCCCTCTATCCCTGTGCTCATTCATTCATCCAACAGATACTTACAGAGGACTAAACGTGGGCCTGGTTTTGTGCCAGGCCCTGGGGGTAAACACCAAAGAGCAATAATAGCTGACATTCGTATTACACTTGCTGTGTGCCACACGCAGCTCTAAGTGCTAGTGTTTTCGCTCGTTTACTCCTCTCCTGTGGGGGCTTTGAGGGAGATATTATTATTATCCCCATTTTACAGATGGGGAAATGGAGGCCCAGGGAGCTTAAGTAACTTGCCTAAATTCCCATACCTCAGCCAGGATTTGGACCCGGGCAGTCCATTCCTTTAACCACTGCACCACTCTACCTCCTGACTGAGACAGACACGGCCCGACCTCACCGAGTTCACTGTCCCGGAAGGAGACCATTAATCAGGCAACAACAGAACAAGGGAAGGGGGACCACCTAACCCAGGGGGCCAGGGAAGGTGTCTGAAGCAGTGGCACCCACCCAAAGACCTGAAGGACAACAATGTGTTTTTTAGAAAATCCGTGTCCTGCCTGTGTGGGAACAGACAGGAAATGGCAGGAGTGGAAGCAGGGACATCTTTTGTTACACGTCTGTCACCCCACAAGTCATTCATTTTCTCATTCCACATCCATTTAATGAGCCCTTACTGGGGGCCGGGCAGGTGCCAAGGGCAGTGGACAAGCAGACAAAATCTTGTCTTCACGGAGCTGACATTCCAGGGAAGGGATGTCAGCAATAAAGAAACCAAACGAATAAAAGATCTCATATGTTATGTGGCGATAAATGCTACGGAGACAGGGAGGGGCTGCAATGTGGAATGCAAGGACCAGGGCAGGCCGCACTGAAAGCTGACATCTGAGGTCAGGGAGTGAGTGGGGTGTATTTCTAGGGGAAGTCCATTCCGGGAGGAGGAATGGAGGAGCAGCCAGGGCACAGGTTCTGGGGGGAGCCTGCCTGCTACACGTCAGGCCTGATCTGACCTTGTTTTCACAGCACCCTCGGACTGCAGGGGACAGGCTGCCATATGGTCCAAGACAGAAGCCGGGAGCCCTCTGGGGTCAGGTAAGCCATGATGATGTCTTGGACCAAGGTGGTGGGGGTGAGAAGTAGTTGGACGCTGGAGCCAGGGCAAAGAGACAGACATGCTGACAGATTGATGTGAGGCTGGGCCTCAGCCACAGGCGGGATGGAGTTGCCATCATCTGAGATAGGGAAGACTGAGTGGGGAACTGACTTGGAGAAGAAGGCCAGGAATCCAGTGCTGAGGCTAGGAATCGTGGCTCATTCATCATTCCTGTCCCCAGCACTAGTATCATAAATGTCCAACAAATGCTTGTCAAATGAGTGCATGAATGGATGGATGGACAAAGTTGGGAGGGCTAGGTGGCCAAGGCCATCAGGTGAGGGGCTTACGGGGAACACCTGATCCTGTTCCATCTCCCCCACTCCACCTCGGGTGCCCTGGCTGGCTCCCGCCCATGCCCACACTTGCATACACACACGAGCCCTCCCCTACCCTCATCCCTGCAGGGGAGGGTCTCAGGCTGGCCGGGGCCTGGGCTTGTCTGGACTGCCAGTCACACAGTTGCCTTGGGGTTTGGATGGAGGAAGAGGAGGCAGGGCATCCTGGCAGGCAGGACTGAGCTGGGCTCATCCTAAAAATACATCTCTGCATTCTGCCAAGGGCTCCGAGGAGTTCCTGTCCTATGCCTGGGCTCTGATCAGTGGGATGGAAGCCAATGCTTTGGGGAGAGGGGGGTGGGACAGGGCAGGAAGGAGAGGACAGCAATGAGGGGGAGGAGGGGAAGGCCCGGGCTCTGCTTCAGCCTGGGGAGGCTTCTGGGAGGAGCCAGAAGATGGGTTTTTGCAGGGCAGGGATGACACAGGCCTTTATGTGGGTTTGAGGATGAGGAGGTGTTCTGGGTAGCATCCTGGAGCTCTGAGCACTGCAGTGTTTGTTTTGTAGCTGTGGTGGGGTCATGTGGCCTGGGGGCTGCCTGGTGGTGAGGGGGGGCGGGTGATGCCTGAGGGCTACCTGAGCATGTGGTTGCTTCCTGCCTGAGATGCAGGGTATCGTATTGGCCAAGGTGCCCAAACAGAAAATGGGGCTAACATCACTGTGTTTGATCTGAAGTGTTTCTTCTCTGCACCCTGATTCTGCCTCCTTCCCGCCCTTCCTTCTCTGGGTCGGGCCTGAAATCTCCAGAAGGACTATATCTAGTCTTCCAAGAAGAAGGGGCCTGGAGCACTATATAGTGCTGTGGTTAAGAGCATAGCTCAGGTGCTCTTAAAAAGCTGTGTGTTCCTGTGCAAGTTACCTCACCTCTCTGTGCTCCTGTTTCCTCATCTGTAAAATGCTGATAATAGCTCTTTCCTTAAAGGCTTGTTGGGAAGAAGATTGAATGAGATAATAAATGTATGGCATTGAGCACACCGTTCCTGGCACATTAGCAGGCACCTAACAAAAGGCAGACTCTGTCCCTCCTCAGGCCCAGGGGGAGGTGAGATGACTTGCTCAAGGGGCACCAAGCGGTCTATCTGGGGTAGATCAGGACCGGGACTTGGTGTTTCCCTCCTGTATCCATGTTTTTCCTGCTGCATCTCCATCTTCAGGAAGAAGGAAGACACTCGGAGCTCCAGGAGACGATCACCGTGGAAACCCATCTGCTGCTTCTTGTCTGCTGCTGTTTGTTTCCCAGCTCTGAGCTGTCTGGGTGTCTCACTGCAGAATTAACAAGGGCAGGGGGCTGGAGGCTGTGTGAGCCTCTGGGGTCTCAGCTCTCACTTGCTTGTTGTTCAGATAACCCCAAACCCTGGTAAAGGCCTGTGGGACCCCACGACATGAATCCAGCTCCAGCTCCAGCTCCAGCTACCCCTCGGCCCCACCAGGATGAAGAGCAGTTCTTGCTCATAGTGGATAACCCACACCCGGACCCCACCTGGGGGAGGGCCAGGGGAGCAGCCCAGGGGATCTGGGGACAGGAGTTGGGGAGAGCAGCTCTGGCCTCTGTTCCTCCCCCAGGCACTGCCGCGTGACCTTGGACAAGTCAGACCCTTTTTTCTGGGCCTTCAGTTTCTCACCATCAGCCTAACATGATAGCAGACTAGGCTTTCCAGACTAGGCTTTTTAAAGATCTGGAATTCTTACTCAGAAGTAATTCTGACACAAGTTGGCAGGTCAGTCCTTCCCTTTGCCATCCAATCAACACTTGACTTTGTTATGGAAAAGTACCTAAAACTTGGAAGTGAGGCAATGAGGAAACTGTGTGACCTTCATCGGTCCACTGAGCATCAACTAACAAGCCAAGGGTCATGTGACTCCCCATGTGTTCAAGCCTAGACATTTTATGTCTGAGAACTAAGGTGCTAATTTGTAGAAAACAGATAAAATACAAAAGATTTTTGTCCGATAGTGATACAATTGATTTTTGACCCATAGAGATCACCCCAAAGGTTATAGGTCACGCACTGTAGGGCATCTGCAGTTTGGGATCTAACCAGCAATCTTCTTCCAGCATTCTCTGTGCTTCCTTGATGATCATCAGTGAGTCCTCTCCACCAGCTTTGTCATCCTGAGCATGTCCTCACAAACGAGTGACATACAAATTTGACACATGCTCACTATGCATTTGTATGATAAT